AAACACCGAATTCCCCACATAACATTATAACGCATCAAGACCTACAAAAAGCAAAGGTTTCCCTTGTTGCACTCTCAAACGCGCTATTTCGGCCGCGAAATGTTAATGCTAAGAGAATCAAAACCAATTGACCAAAATAGTCAAATCTTAGTACTCAATCCATTTTTAGACACGAAAGGTCTGCTTCGTGCTGATGGACGGCTAGCGAACTCCAGCCTCACATATAACGAACGCCACCCCATAATAATACCATTGAAATCCCCCTTTGCAACACTATACCTCAGATTTCTACACTTATTAGTGCTACATGCCGAACATCGCCTCATGCAACAAATGGTCCGACAAGAATATTATATTCCACAACTAAAGCCACAGATCATAAAATGCATATTTATGTGTAAAGTCTGCACTATACATAAGCAGAAGATGCGCACGCAGATCGTGGCAGCTCTTCCACCTGAACGCTGCACTTTCGGTCTGTCCTTCACTACCACTGGTATTGATTTTGCAGGGCCTTTCCAGATAAAGGCTTCCATGTTAAGGACTTCAACCTTTACGAAGGGTTATGTGGCTGTCTTTGTATGCTTTACAACAAAGGCAGTACACCTCGAGCTATGTTCTGATCTGACAACTGCGGCTTTTCTCGCGGCATTTGCTCGCTTCGTCGGACGGACAGGATTTCCACCCAAAATAATGAGCGACAATGGAAAAACCTTTGTCGGAGCCAAAAGAGCCACTGAAAAACAATTTATAAAATTTATAGAGGAAGTCTCGGCTGAAATCGTTAAAAAATACGCACCCCAAGGCATTGATTGGCAATTTATCCCACCAAGTGCCCCACATATGGGTGGTCTATGGGAATCGGCTGTCAAAAGCTTCAAAACACATTTAAAAAAAAAGTCGCTGGCACAGAAAAATTTAACTTTGAAGAATTTACTACATTATTAACCCGAATAGAAGCCGTTCTTAACTCACGGTCCCTCTCTGCGCTCTCGCAAGATCCCTCCGATTTCACTGCCCTCACCCCTGGGCATTTTCTTAGAGGAGCTCCACTTCTGGCAATACCCCAGCCAGACGAGCAATCCTTAACGCAACTCAATTAACGTAAATAATTGAGCGTTAGCATGCACGCTTTCTCCCCCGCAAAACACTAAAGTCCCCTTTCGTTTCATAGAAATGGACGTTGACATGGCTATCCCGTCTTCCAACCCCACGCCGGCAGTCCGGACCAACGCAGCAGTAGCACCGCGAGCATCAGCACCACCGATTGCGGCACCACGATCTGCCACATCATTCTCCGGAGCAGCTCCAGTGCCATCCCCTCGTCCAGGCGTTCGGCGAGCGGCAGCATTAGCAACCGCAGCGCCATCAGGCGCACCCTCAGCATCCGCTGCCCCCGCAGCATCCGAACTGCTACTAGCAGATGAACTGGATCAAGGCGTACTTCTTTGTGGGCTATGCCACCGGCGCCACGCAATGAGCGCCTGTCCAATATTTCGGGGCCTGCAACCGGCCCAGCGGCAGCAAGTAGCCCGGGCACTGTTTGAACTGCCTCGCGTTGTCCCACAGGACATGGGAATGTGCATCACGTAGCCGGTGTCACGTATGTCAAAGACGTCATCACACCATGTTCCATCACTTCCCATCGGGTAGCGCGAATTCAACAACCAGCTCCAGCATCAGGTAATCGTCGCCGACATCATAACGCGCGGCAGAACGTCCACGCTCGGAGACCACCGTCGGCACACTACCGCCCGGGCCCCCATCATCCCACCGCAGCCAACAGTCGTCCAGGTCGCACCACCGCCGCCCATCCGGGCTTGGCAACGTTGTAGAGACGTTGCAGCAACTACAGCGGTTACTAGGCTAAGTATACGCCTAGGGGGGCCGGGATGGCTAAATGGGTCCTTTCGCGACGGCAACGCTGGCACTTCCGCCTGCGAAACTATCGCCAACAGGCACCCACAGATGTCCCCATCAGCATCACATCCTAACACGCACCCACATCTACACATATTCAACAAAACACTTTGACATTTTACTTATCCACTTACTTTGTACACACACTACACATGTCATACACACACACACACACTTGAGACACAAAGAAATGTCAGCAAAATTTTTGATTTTAAACGACACAATTGTTAAGATTTTCCTCCGTGCGGACGTGTCCGAACAGCCCCGATTTTTTGAATAAACCTCTTCATATTTATATTTTAACGAAAAGTTCCCCTTGTCTTTTTTATACAAAGCGGAAAACGTAAGTGATAAGAGTAATAAACTACAGGACAAATTCCAAAGACCATAGTGATCCTGTGTTCACTCGGTAACCCGCGTATTAAAATTGATTTGTTGTTTCATAGCTAGGTGAGCGAAGATCTCATTGAGTTTCCTACTATAGCTTGATATTACGTTAAGGTTTATATGGAAATCGCCGATTATGATAGTATCTACCATATTATCACATGTTGCAGACAGGATGGCCTCCATATAGGTCAGGAAATCTGCATCACTTGTACTAGGTGAGTGATAAACCACACCGATTTCACACCTCTTTACCCAATTTTTTAATTGTATGACTATGCACCATATATTTTTATTGATGGATCGATTTATTTTTATTTTGAAATCAACTGTGTCTCGCAAGATTATAATTACACCGCCTGTGTGTCTACTGTGCGAATCACACCTTATTACGTGGTACGTTGGAAACTTTATTTCTGAATCATTAATTTCATCTGTTATACACGTTTCGGAGCATAAGACTAAGTCAGGATCAACTACCTCAATAAGTCTTTCGAGCTCAGCTATATTAGCTAGTATACTACTAATATTAACATAGACGCATTTCAAATTACTATGGTGCTGTTTGCTAGAATTTGATTGCCAACATCCTACTTTTTGTTTTTCAAACTTTAATCTTCTTATATAGACTGGGCACTCCCTACTAAATACACTATGCTCTGTGTTTAATTGTAACCCTTAATCAGAGGCGGGAATTTTTTGATTTTCCAAACACATGTAATTGGGCATCAAAATGCTGCTTGCTGCGACGTCGACACATGTATACTATCATCGTGCGTCTTACGATAATTGACGATTGACTGATGCTTCGCTGGTATTTCGGCAAAGCAGATCAGATCAGTTGCTGTTGAGAGTGTTCGGACGCAAAAAATTTTTCTTAGTCATAAATAAGCATGAAAAATTGTGGTACATTCCAAAACAATGTGGTAGATTCAAATAAATAAATTTAAAAATATGTTACATGCACTTATGGTCAGCTGATTAAGTTAAGTGACATTTTGACCAGTTTTGGCTATTTATATTTTTGTTTATTTACTGTTTATCTTTTTTTGCTGACGGTGCTAGGCATTTTCTTCCATATAAAAGAAATTTCCAATCATTAAAAATCAACGCGATTTCCTAGCGCTTGAAATTTGCACTTTGAGCTTCTAAATTTTAATGGGCTATAAAACTACATACACTGAGGGAAAAAAATATTAAAATCAAATAGAAACGTAATTGATCTTACTATAAACGTCAACGAAAGTACTGAATATTGGTAAATATTCAATTCAATTAATAAATAATAAAATGACCACGTTCGTACTGAAAAAGCATCCGTGAAGTGAATAATCAAGACAAAAACTGAAAAAAAAAAAAATTTATTTGCATGTTACCTGCAGTGGAATTCGAACCCGACCATCTCCGGATATCAACAACTTGTGGCAAGCATCTTTGCGCACTCAGCTACACCCTGGCATATAAATTTGCTTTCAAATGTTGAATATGTACGGATAAACATGTAATTACCCTGCAAATAATGGGACTAATCCGGGATGACTCCGGGAGCAATCGCAACCCTGCAAAAAATGGGACTAATCCGGGATGACTCCGGGAGCAATCGCAAAGGAACATGCGACTAATGCCACTTTTGATCTCTTTATATGGAATGAACTGTTCGCTTTTGTTCGAGCATGTTCTATGAAGAGACTAATTGCTCACCTTTATACCCGAAAGGGTATAAAAGGCGACTAGTCACTTTTAAAAAATAAAAATAAAAATTTGCGCCAGCTGAGATTCGAACCGGGCTGCTCAGTTTGGTTAGGCGAATACTCTCTCTGTGTGCCAACGCCGCACATGAAATTTCGTTGACTAAGAGCGTACATATCATTAAATCGTTAATATTACCCGTTAGAGATGAGTTGGGGAATAATTGATATCCAATTATACCCATAAGGGATGAGTCGAGACTAATTGACCTCCATTAGTACCCGTATGAGACAAGTTGCGACTAATTAATGCCCAATTGTACCCGATTGAGAGTAATCTCGGAATACTCTCTTTAGAGATTAGTCGCACAATTTTTTGCAGGGTACTATGTATGTATGCGTGTGTTGTCACCGCTCACAGAGCGGTTCTCTGCATGCTTGGGTTGCGTATGTACACTTACATATACATACTCAGATGTGAACAGTCAAATACGTGCGTAATAAATTTTGTATGAAAATATTATTTTTAAATACGAACATTTTTAAACGATAATCAAATATAAAGTATTCATTTTTACTATGCATTATTTCCCTCAGTGTACCTAACAATTTTCTAGAAATTCTAAATAAAAAGCCAAAGCGACAGAATAAGATGCTTTTTTTAAAAATGATCTATCATTTTCTGATAGAGAATCATTTTCTGATAGACATTGATAATTTTGGTGTTGATGTATATTACTTTCACCAATCATAAATTTAATAAAGAACGCTGCTTTTAATTCTAAAATCTTCAGTGCTCGATCACCCTCTTTCACCTTTTCAAAATGGCTATGACACAGTTTGTAATGTCTTTTTAAACAAGACATAACATTGCGACTCAAAACGCGATAGCAGATCACGCATCCATGTTTTCTATGCAAAAAAAAAATTATTTACCATTCCTCCCGAAAAATTTTATGTGTGTATTATTCGAATAAACGCGCAGTGAAGTCTCAGCAGCACAGTATACCAGTAGAAAAGGTTTTTGTTTTTGTAGCTGTTTCGTGGTGAAAGTCCTTTATGGGGACCAAATTTCCACACAAGAAATTGAGCACATGGTTGCTTTTGCGTCCCAAAAGAATGAATATTAGAAAACATTTAAAAAAAGTCTAAGGTAATACAATTATATGCAACTAAAAATAATCACAATAATTTGCACTTATGAGTTTTCAACTATTATTTTTCACAAAATAATTTTGCGGATCAGTTTGCTCTGAGCGCTTGTGTTGTTTACCAAAAAAATGCAGCCCTGTTGGTTTTTGTTTCTGTATCGCATCGCGGTGAGTTTCTATTTCTTGGTAATTCGGTTTGTGAAATGGTAAACAAATTATTGAAATTTATTTATCTGATGTGTATAAGATTTCATTAATGCAATTTTTTGTATTTTCAGACTATTAATTACAAGCACAGCATCATCAACGGTGATTGCAAGAACTACTGCAATCCCTGCGGTTTTTCCTCTTGGTAAATGCGTTCAGGTCGTGATCAAGGGTGGTCTCCCAAATCGGCCGGGAATAAGGTTAGTCATTTTCAATTTTATATCTTTGTTCGTCGACATTATATGACATGTCATCATTGCAGGCTATTGTTGCAGAACAAAACGCCGCAACCAGTGCTGTGGTAAATATGTTCCAGCAGAACTGCCCACCGCCGTCGGTGTAATGATTTCGATGGCTGAACAAACGCCATCTCCTGGGCTATTCCCACAGCTTGCGGACACTAGCTATTATATCACGTGTGAATGCAACTGCGGCTTAATTTGGTTATTAACAGTGCAGTAGTACCATGTCATTGGCAAAACGACTAAGGGCTGCTGGCACAAATAGGTTGTAAAGTTTTTGGTATCGATGAACATACTCGAAGAAGACGATGACCGAAAACATATGATGAAACATCTTCTGGCATGCCTTTGACAATCGTTAAGTCAGACGGAGGCTTCACATACGATATTTCACACATGGCTCGAATTCGTTAGCGGACAGAGCACACATTTACAAAATATTTATCGTTCAGCAGAACGTGCATGCATATTCGATATTTCACACATGGCTGGAATTCGTTAGCGGACAGAGCACACATTTACAAAATATTTATCGTTCAGCAGAACGTGCATGCATATTCGATTCCGATTTTATGGGTCGATTATGGAGGACAACCGAACTTCAGTTGCCGGGAATTTTTGATTGAGATACTTTATTTCTTTTTTCAACTTTTTTTTAAATTGTACCACCTTGAACTTTATGAAACTTAATTATTGCTATTCATAATAAAAAACATTTTCATTTCAGTGGCGCTGTCCATCGGCTACCCAACTGAGGTTCCGTTCCCATCCATAATCGATCCATAAGTCATAATCGCACGAACTAATCAAGGCTATCATAGAATCCATCGTAGTCCGATTTTTCGTGAAATCTACGAAAATGCTATTAAGTTCGAGTAGCTACGAACGCAGCGCTTGCTTTGAATACACATAGCAGTTCAGATTCAGTGATCGCTTTTTCGTAGATTTTAAGAAAAATTGGACTACGATGGATTCCGCCACCAATATGTTTTCTCCTTTGACAAGATGTTGGAGAATCGCGGCAGCACAGCCGTATTCCTACTCTATGCTCTTACGCGCATATGCTAAATTTCTCGCACCTAGCTAAAGTGCTTGACAAAGGCAGAAGGCATATCTTCAACATTATAAGTTAAAATAAAAAAGTTTAAGGCATGCAATAAAAGAATCAACAGAACCAAAAAATGTTCTCAAAACTATTAAACATAAAAAATTGCACGAATAAAATTCATATTTACAAAATGAATCTTAAAGCACCCACAGTAAGTCCTAAACATATAAATGACTAATAAGAAAAATAATAAATAACAGTAATATGAAAAAGTATGTCGAGAAATCTCTAAATAGTAGCGAAACTATATCTCAATAACAGATAATTTTAAGCAAAAAATACAACCGACTTCAATGCGCATTCAGGTCGTTCTGGTTACGTAGATCCGACTGTCTTCCCTTTTTTTAAATCGTTAAAAAAAAAATTATTACGTATTCTACAGAAAAAAATCAAGATACATATTTAAGGATTTTAAGTAAAAATAAATAAAGGAAAACTTGTTCGTGATATCTTGACCAAGGTGTATTCATGGTACAAAAATCTGAAGGTAAAACCGTTGAAAGGCAGCCTGAACATTTTTAAAGTTTGCTAACATTACAAAAATGTTTTCAAATTTCCAATCTCACAAATACATTCTCATTATCAGTCTCAAATAAATGAAAATTTCAATATTTTCATCTATTTGTTTTTTGTTTTACCTTTATTTGGCATTTGAGTTGCTCTCAAAATTTCAATTTTATAAAATAGACAAACTTCAAAAAGTAAATGATGGCCGACGAATTGTGCAAGCGGTTTTACCTTTAAATATTTGTATCATGGGTGTATTAAACAAGGTGCCGTACGCATAAAACCTAAGCAAATGCTTTTTCTTAAAATTTCAGACCTTTCACTCAGTTTTTTCAAATAAATTTAAGTGAAAGGTATGAAAATCTGAGAAAAAGTAATTGCTTAGTTTTTATGCATACGGCCCAAGGTGTTATTGACAACTCAGTGGGGCTCTCTTTTAAGATACTATTATGTAAAAAAATATAAACAAACGATTCAAAATTCATACAAATTTTTTTCAATTTGACTTTATAGGATGGTTCTTCTGAGAGCAATGTCAAATTCAATCACACTTTGTTAAATACATTTTGATCTCTACCAAATAATGTACTTCCTCTTTAAATATTTTATGAAGTGTTCCAAAATTCGCTCCGAGCGCGCTCTGTTGATCATTTGATTTAAATAGTTTGTCAAACAATTAATACTATAGTTTGATCGGAAATTATATATTCTTAAGTAATTGATCACATTTTATTAAAATATAAACGTTTAATAGGGTAGAAAGTTAGAAATAATTTACTGTTAATATGCATAATTCGCTCAGTGTTCCAAAATTCGCTCCTAGTGAGTTCAATATTGATCATTTGATTTAAATAATTGTTTCTCAATCACTCAGTTTTATAGTTTGATCGAAAACTATATATTCTTAAGTAATTGATCACATTTTATTAAAATATAAACGTTTAATAGGGTTGAAATTGTGAAATTACTACTGCAACTACTCGTGAAAACTTACAATAAAAGCAATGTAGATGAAAGTACTAAATATTATTATTAAAATTAGATCCATATATAAAACATTTTACATCATTTATTTGAAGTAAATCGGAATATATTTTTACATATAAGATAGTTTCCATTTAACTCATAAAGTACATATTTCACTACAAATATTTTTAAGATCATTTCGAATTGCAAAAATAGCGCTAATTAGTTGTATTGAAGTATAAAACATTTTATTACGTCCATGTTTACTTATAAAGCGCATAACAATATTTCTCTCGCCATTTATCCGATGATAAAATTTTTCACCACATTATTTTGCTGCACAGCACCCTGAATGCGGCAAAACAGTTGCTGGCAACCCTCAAGTCCTTTATGGGGACCAAATTAACAGCCACAACAACAAAAACCTTTTCTACTGGTATACTGTGCTCAGCAACAACTGATTTGATTTGCTTTGCCGAAGTGCTAGCAAAGCATCAGTCAATCGTCAATTATCGTAAGACGCACGAAGACGATCATATCATAAAGGCCCGTCCACATAGAACTTTGGCGTTGCGTTGGCGTTGGCGTCGCTTTGACAGCAGCGCGAGTGGCGTGTGTTCTTGCTACAATGAACGTTTTGACAGCGCCGGCGATGACATTTGTTCAAGCCACGTGGTAGAGTAAACAACCGGGAAATAAGAAAAAGTTTATAATTTAGTTAATAAAACGCATACAAATATAACAAAGCCGAATTACTTACGGCGGTATAGCTTCATAGGAAGGCGGCCCAATAATTTAAATCATCAAATAGACATTTGTTTTGTTTTTGCCAGTGAAAATATTTTTGTATCCTCGAGCGTTATTAAAAAAATGATGTTATCTTTTATCGAAATAATATTAATAGTGCTACTTAGGTACGAGCCTCGCGAGTGTTTGAAGAAAATTAATTCTCGGCGGCGGGAGTGGGTAAGACCTCTTTACTTAAGTCGCGACATTGATGGACTATTTGTAACCAGTTTTGACGAAATGTACAAAAATGACCCGGAGCAGTTCAAAACTACGGTGAGGATGACTAAGGAGGTGTTTGATTTGCTCTTTGGGCTCGTGATGGAACGCCTCATAAAGTATTCCAACAGGCCGTCAATTTCTGCAGAAATGAGACTATTCTTAACATTGAAGTAAGTAAATATTTCTAAAGAAAATTTCATACTAATTTGTGTGCATTACATTCATAGTTTCCTAGCACACGGGGGAACTCAGCATTTGTACGCTACAGCGTATAAAGTGGGTCGCTCCACAGTCAACAAAATAATTTTGGAAACCTGCGAAGGACTTCAACACTATTTGGGATTTCGCGAACTGTGTGGGCGCAATCGACGGAAAGCACATCACTTTAAAATGTCTTTCCAACTCCGGATCTCTTTTTTACAATTACAAGGGTACCTACTCCATCGTATTATTAGCATGTTGCGATGCGAATTACACATTTACTTCTATCGATATTGGTGCGTACGGTTCGCAAAGCGACGGCGGTGTGCTTTGGAATTCTGGATTTGGTCAAAGGCTGTTCCATGATCAACTAGACCTGCCTGAGGATGACATTTTACCAGACAGCAATATTAAGTTTCCGCATTATTTCGTTGGAGATGCAGCATTTCCTTTAAAAAAAAATTTAATGCGGCCATATCCTGGTTAGTATACGGAAAATGTATTGCATAGAAAATGGTTATGTTGAAAGTTGCATTTATAGTTTGGAAATAAAAGAGTCTGATGCTTTGCATTGATAAAACTTGCAACTCAACCATTATTTGCATCTATACTATGTGCATATGTATGTACATACAAATAAGCCTTTTTTAATTTCAGGATTGCATCTGCCACCCGGTCGTGAAAATTTTAATAAGCGCCTTTCAAGAGCTCGGCGTGTTATTGAAAACGCCTTCGGAATTATGACAGCACGATGGAGGATTTTGCTATTCATATTTTTGATGCTGGCTGTTTTTATATATAGTGGGTTCAAAATAATAGCAGCAAAATTCAAAATGACGCTTTTGGCAACTTATATTTACTTATTTTTTGTTAATAATTTTCATTTAAAATAAGGGTCGATCTATATCAGATACCACATAAATAAAAGTTTCAAAGCTTATACAAAGTTTTGTAGCCCATTCAATTTTAGTATAATAAAGTGCAAGTTTCAAGTCGCAAAAAATTACCGTTGATTTTTGAGAATTTTTCTTGTGGAGGGTGTTGCGCATTTCTGCCATATAAAAGTAAGTTTATTTCATGCATTATACGGAAGAAAATGAGAAACACCCTCCACAAGAAAAATTCTCAAAAATCAAAGGTAATTTTTTTTGCGACTTGAAACTTTCACTTTATTATACTAAAATTGAATGGGCTACAAAACTTCTAAATTTTCTAAAGATTCTCATTAAAAAGTTTGAAATTTTGTTGTCAACTTTGAAAATGATTAACAATAAATAAATAAAGATAAGTCGCCAACAGCATCATTTTGATTTTGCTGCTATTATTTGAACGCCACGTATATGTATTTCTTACATTAAACATTTCCATTTCCCTTTGCAGGGATTTCTTGCACATAGCATAACCACCACCATCATATAAATCCATATTTGAAACTTCGTAAAAGTCAAAATGTCACTTAGCTTAATCAGCTGACCCCAAGTGTGTATGTACATATATGTAATTTTATAAAAATTATTCAGTCTTTTATTTACTACAGGGTAATTCACAAGGGTACTGATTATTAAAGAACAATTATCGAATTTAATAAACATAAATTAATGAAAAGTAAAAGAACTTCAAGAAACAAGAAACGAAATATAAATAGGGTGTGTTCAGAAATGCATCAAGCCAAAGCATCAAATGCATTTATTTCTAAACTATAATTGATGGAAATGTCCAATATGCGCAACCACAGTTAAATGCCTAATTGGACCCTAGTTGCGTAAATAACACATTTCCATAAATAATAGTTTAGAAATAAATGCGTTTGATGCTTTGGCTTGATGCATTTCTAAACACACCCATACATTTGTGATCAGCTAATTAAGGCAACCAACATTTTGATAAATTTTATGTTTAAGGTTTATTTTTCCATAAAAGTCTATCTCGTTATTATAACAAACACCAATCCACATTTCAGACTTTGTGCAAAAATTATAAGAAATCTGCAAAGTTGCATCTAAATTTTCATATTTTTTTATCAGATTTTTTAGTAATGTTTTGAGTATGGAGTTTTATAGCCCATTAAATGCTAGTATAAATACACACATCTGAAAAATCTGATAAAAAATATGAAAATTTAGATGCAACTTTGCAGATTTCTTATAATTTTTGCACAAAGTCTGAAATGTGGATTGGTGTTTGTTATAATAACGAGATAGACTTTTATGGAAAAATAAACCTTAAACATAAAATTTATCAAAACGTTGCTGGCTGGTCACAAGTGTATCTGTGGAATTTTGGCAAAAACACTTATTTAATTTTATAAAATACCAAATCCGAAAGCTTTAATAATTGCCGCAATTATAGTTGAAAACATAGTTGAGTATCACAACTTTGATTGGGCCTGCTCCGGATGTTTCAATACATAGCTGTCCAGAACTTTATAAAACTCAAAATTGCGGCTATTATTAAAGCTTTCGGATTTGGAGCCAACAAATTCATTGACCGCCACGCATAGTGATCCGAACCTCTCGTTCGCCTCGTCTTCTACACGACGCCGTTTATTTTTTTTTGCGCTGTTGGACTGCTCCGTGTCGTTTGCCGGAACAGAAGGAAGAGGAGAGCTTACTTCATACTCCTCATAATAAGAGGTTTCGGTCACGTTGCACGGGCTGATGCCGTTTATTTCCTCCTCCTGTGAAGTAAAATCCAGATTGGAAAATGTTCTGAAAATAAATAGACAAACATAGATTAAAACTTAAGTATATATACACATAAGAACATATCGAGTGCTGAGTGGAAGATCGACCTATCTCGGCAGCCAGTTCGAAAACGCCCTACCTCAAAAAACTTTTCAAGAACGCCCTATTTCAGAATTCGTCTCAAAAACGCCCTATCTCAGCTGCCGATTCAAAAACGCCCTATGTCAGCACATTTTCAATACATTTTGAAGTGAGATAGGCCGTTTTTGAACCGAATTCTGAGATAGGGTGTTTTTCAATAAAACTCTGAAATAGGGCGTTCTTGTAAAGTTTTTTGAGATAGGGCGTTTTCGAACTGGCTGTCGAGATAGGTTGATCTTCCATTCAGCAGTCGATATAGGAATTTTCAATTAAAATAGAGTTCTATTTCTAACAAAACCCAAAAACTTTGTAGAAAACCATGATCCAAAAATAAATAAATAAAATATTTAAATAAATAAATAAATAAATAATAATAATAATAACAACATTTAAGTATATGTATCATGGTGGAAAACGACAAAAAATGCAACGAATTTTCACGCAAATTTCAAACTTCTTTCCCAGAATTGTTAGAATTTGTTTGAGTACACAGTTTGATAGCCCTTTAAATTATAGTGCGATAATGGCTGCGTTTCTTTATACATTCCGGATAATCCCATTTCACAGCCGGAATAAACAGAATGAGTTTGAAATATACGTCAACATATCATCAGGAACGTTCTAAAGAATAAATAAACAAAAAAGTTTATTCCAAACATTCCGAATGAATAAAGAAATGCAGCCAATAATAAGCATGAGTGGGAAACAAATATCACTTTGAAATTGGGATGCTATTGGTATGACCGACATTTTATTTTTTTGTTAACTTACTTTCGAGGAGCAACGAAGTCTCGCATAAAATCCATGGCTTCCAAATATTGCCATGTGGCTCCATCTTCGGCACCAGATCCTGACTTCTTCTTCTGTAAGCCTGTCTCCCGGACGAAGCGGTCTCTGAGAGACTTCCACCTTGTTTGGCAGTTAGTCGCTATTGGAAGAATTAAATAAGGTAATTTTTTTATATATTTATATACATATACATATATACAATTACATACCAGGTACTCCCACAGCGCATGCAACGGCATCCCAAGCCTTTTCTTTTAATAATTTATCGTAAAGGCAGCTGTGTGCCCTGACCGCCTCTAGTAACTTCTCCTCCATATTTTCTGTAAATATATAAATATATTGGCCCGTAGTCATAGTCAAAATAAAGTCGACTTTAAAGTTAGTTGCAGCTTTTTGACATAATTTTCAATGGGATATCTGTCAAAAAAGCTGCAACTAACTTTAAAGTCGACTTTATTTTGACTATGACTACGGGCCATTGTAAATATTGAACTTAAATACCAACGTGGGTAAAAGTGCACTTAAGCGGAACCTGCCCAAAATCCATCCAAAAAAAGTCAAGAGGGGTATCAAACGACGCCAATAATTTTCCAGGTACTTCACGATTTGCAGGAATTTATAGGAAGCTGTTCCCGGACGACACCTGCATCCAACTCCTTTTTTGGGTGGCGGACTTCGGCCGCGCTTAGGGCCTATAACCCTTACTAAGTAGAATTCTCTTTTCTGTGTTGCCGGAGAAGAGGGGCGGATGCATCTCTGCATAGGCGGCCTTTGCGTGAAATTCATCAAAAGAAGGTACGCAAAGTGGAAGTGTTTTTATTTCCGCTTTCGAATTATTGTTATTAGTTGCGTTCTAGATCTGCAGGAAAAGCTGTTTTCTCCATAAATAAACCTTATGAAAGGTGGTCACCTGGAACAGCTTCCTGTAAAAATCTGCAAATCGTGAAGCAACTATTGGCGTCGATGATGATCATCTTTGAGATGAGTTTTGCGCAGGTCCCGCCCAAGTGCACTACTACTCCAACGTGGATTGCATTTTAGAATTTTTACTTACCTTGTTTTAAATTTAATCCGCAATGTTTTTTTGGGGTATATCTTTAATTCTAATTGATTTCAGCCAAATTTTTACAAAAGCTGGAAAAATGTTGTTCACCCACGCTCAATGAAAATTGTGTATCAGCTGTTTGTCAACGCGCGCAAAAAGTTGAGAGTTGGCCATCTTTCTGCGTTGTGTTGGCGTTGGCGTTGCCCAACTTTGGTTATGTCGAGCCTTTCATATAAATGCATGTATTCATAGTCAGCTGTCGAAGCGACGCCAACGCCAACGCAACGCCAAAGTTGTATGTAAACGGGCCTTAAATGTTGCCACGTCGCAGCAAGCAATGTTGTTTTTTGTTGTAGAAAATGCCCATTCATTAATGAACAAATTAAAAAAAAAGAAGTTTCAAGATCTGAAAGTTTTTTAACTTAAGGTGGTAGAACTAGTAGAAATGTAATTTAGCAAAAAAAAGTGTTATCTATTCCACAAATGTGGTAAAGTCCGAGCACTGGCTGGTGAACCAAACTTCGCTGCTTCGCACACAAGCGCATGTGTGTGATAGTGTGAGTGCCCACCTCTGCCCTAAATCTTAGCATCGCAGCAATTGCCACACACTGGGTTCGTAATTCTTTCAGTGCAGTTTTCGGGTTTGTGTTCACTCATGCATTTACAGCATCGTAGTTTGTTTTTGCAATTATTAGCACTATGATTGAAACCCAAGAACTCTTCACTATCTGTCCGTCATAAACTGGGCAGCGATCCCATCCAATATTCAATCTCTTAGATTCTAGGACCTGCACAAAGACTTTATGCTCTACCTCGATTAATGCATTAAATGATGTTGAAGTCACGCTATTTCTTTTTGGTTTAAAAACTTTTAAACATTTTAAGTTTGCATCAGCCAAGTACATATTTTGTGATTTTATTTTGCTTATGACCTCTGTTTCAGTGTATGCAGCGTTTATACGGGTTATCAGTATTTTTGGCCTGTTCATATTAGGTTCAGAGATCTCATATTGTTCCTTATTAAGATTATTAGCTAGAGTAGATTTAATTTTCTCTTTCTCAGTAACACTGTTGGCATTTATTACAACCGCCCCATTCTCCTTATTAGACACTTTGTCAATTTTCATATTAGTGGCATCGATTTTATTAAGATCCACCCTAGTTTTCTCAGCCGCTTGCTTATTTTTTGGCTTAATTATTATTGGAGGTACACCTTTTACTGCATTAGCATACGATGCACCCACACTACGCTGTAAGTTCTCTTTACTCTGACATGCAGCTTTCTTAACTTCCGCAATAATGTCATCTTTTTGCTTGCATATCTCAGTAGTTGATGCACCTACTCTTGATATTTGATCTTTGTTGGTCTTACACAGACGTTCTACCCTCTTTATTAGTTCTAATTTCTCTTGGTTAGTTTTTTTGATGTTATCCATTGTAATGGCATCGCTAACAATACGGCAGCGCTATTCAGCCGTCGTAATGTTGGTAGCCCTGTCGGAACATACGTTCCACAGGTACATAATATGAATGAAAAACCGAACGTTCAATTCATTCTGATATAGATACTTTAACTGTGAGGTTGCAAGAAATTTAGAACGGCAATAAAAATACAATTAAATAGTAAAAATTAAATCAAAGTTGTTTTTAATTAACATTGTTTAAGCGAATGTAGTTTTCGCGAGTGTAATTTCTAAATTCTAAATATTACGTCCGGCCGAATATCTAGCGGCCACGAGGAGAAGTATACGCGCAACTACCAGCAGATTAGGGGTGCCGCGTATACCGGAGCACCCGGCGTGGAACTACTGCGCGGATTCGACCAGCCATTTGGTACCAGCGGACTCCTGGTAACGACAACAGCTGGAGTTCACTGGGGTAAGCAGTGCACTAAAAATTAAACTGTGTGGTGTGGTAGCGGGCGGTAAGGTGGCGGCACAAAGGGCACGAGATGGCGACCGTGACGGTGAGCATGAGGCAAAATTTTTTTGACAACCTGGACGTCAGGCGTGTCTAGTGGGCTTCGGGCGCGATACAGTGTCGGTGGTGGTGGCGAGCAGAGTTTCTTTGCGGTAGGCAATAACGGGGTGCTGTACAACGTCGCCCGTATAGCGCCGCAAACAAATCCGCGCTGCCTTTTCGTCCCGTGCATTTTTGTACATAACGGAGAGCCCTGCCATCACCAACGGCAGCAGTACGAAATAACTCGCATAACGCCACATATAACGGCACGTAAAACGGCACGCTGCATTTTTACAAACTGCGTAGGGTATAACCGAGAGCCCTGCTGCCATCAACAACAACAGCAGCAGCAGCACAAACCCGTATATGTACGCATAAGCGATACAGCACCGCCATAAACCCACGCTATGCGATAACGGATTACCACCACACCAGCAACTATACACAAACGGGAAACACGAACCAAAGACTGCGGCCACTTTTTGTACAGACTGCATCGAGGGAGTCGGGCAGTTCGGGTGACTCAATCAGGCGTATATATATATATTTTTTTCCCCTCCACATTTATATTTAAATACAAAATTTGATTTCAACCATTATTTAAAATTTCTTTAAACTAAAAACAAGAAAAAGAAAATTTTCTTAAGCATTTCTTTGCGCTAGACAAATAGCCTCACTTAGAAAACAAATTTTTTAAATGAATTCAATTTGTGGAAAAAAATTAAACAAAAAAAGTTACTGCAAGCTGATTATAAAGAAATTAACTACTATCCGAAAAATTAATATATTTTTCAAACAAAACAACAAGAAAAACAAATGTAAAGTGAAAGAAATGAATTTTGAAAACGGGTTTTTCTCATGCATTAAATAATATTAAACACTTGTGTTAAGCGGCCTCATGTTCGAAAAAAGGGAGCTAAAGCTAAATTTAGGGCGCGTTTCTACTTTTAAAATGTCATTAAATCAAAATGACCTCTGCAACTCAGATTTTCAATTAATAATTCGTTGAAAAAAGTGAACCACCACAATTCTTTTTCAAAATTCGTACTTTTATTATACTATAAGTGAACCACCATAATTCTTTTTCAAAATTCATACTTTTATTATACTATAAGTGAACCACCATAATTCTTTTTCAAAATTCATACTTTTATTAGACTATAAGGGACCTTTTTCATACAACCAATTAATTCATTATTATATCAATTTTTCATACTAACTCATATTAAACTATAAGGGACGTTCTTATATCAATCACATTCAAACTTAAAATTGTTACCTATTAGACTTTAAGTGACGGGAGTGACTCATTGAATTGAAAATATTTTTTTTCCTACTTTTTCCAAAATACGATTTACTAAAGTAATCGAAACCTAAATACATTTTAATATAACCGACATTTATACCATATTCCTATGTAAATGTGACAATACATGCCTATATTACCAAAATTGAAACTTTTCCTTAAATATATGCATTGTAACATTTAAATACAACTTGAACTCTTTTGGCTTGCATGTGAATACAACCCAATATTCCCTCTGCATGAAAACGACCATATTTTTGCATGCAAATTTTCACCCGATGACCTACTGAGAAAAACATACACTTCCACTTCTTTGAGATTAGCCGGTTATGAGCGAAGTCGATATACAATTTAAAGCATCTAAAGCAGATTTTGATAAGATTACTAAGCGCATTTTACAAAGTAGACCGTTGTCTACGAATGCGAAAAAATTTAACGAATATAAATATTCGCTTATCACAGCTTACAATAATATTTTATTACTAGTTATTGGTAATAGTTCGGCCCATACCTGTTATCTCAAGGAAGTTCAAGTTAAATTAGCCCGTTGCAAGGAACAGTTAGCAAAGTGCTTTAATAAACTGAATTGTCGCGTTAGGATTCCACCTGATAGCTAATCGCTAATTTGTCAATCAGACCTAGCTGACTCTGAGTCAGAAGAAGAGTTTAGTGACGCCAAGTCAGAAGCTTCGGTACAATTCAGTCTTAAAAGAAGTACTTCACTTCCATCATTTAAAGGTCTGCTAACTGTATCCGACGAGCCGTCAACAGCTACCAGTTCGCCAAATATTTCGACAAATTTTCAAGAATTTTTAGACATGGCTACCCCTGAACAGAAGAAATCCTTTATTAGTCTTTGTGCCTCAATCATTAGGGAAAATTACAATGGAGACCCGCTAGCACTTGAATCGTTTATAGACAAAATTAACTTAATTGAAGATATTGCAGACGAAAATTTAAATACAACTTTTATATCATTTTTGAAATC